AAGATAGATAGATAGATAGATAGATAGATAGATAGAGAGAGAGAGAGAGAGAGAGATGAATAGACTGAAATATAAATAGAGAGAGAGAGAGATGAATTGACTGAACTATAGATGAATAGAGATATGAACAGACTGAAATATATATATATATATATATATATATAGAGAGAGAGAGAGAGAGAGATAAATAGACTAAAATATAGGTAGATAAATAGCGAAAGAGAGAGATGAAAAGAATGAAATATCGACAGATAGAGTAAATAAAATAATATATATATATATATATATATTATAATATTTTACATCGCTACACAAAAATTTCCATGCTTCAGAATTTTCTCTTTATATATATATATATATGTAAAATGGAAAAAGAACTCCCAAGTTAGGAGTTTTTCATTTTGTCATTCAATTACTGACTATTAGTCTGTTATATAGATCTATATATCACATTTGTGTTTGTGGGTGTTTGAGATTTGAGAGAAGTAGCTGTTAGTATCTCACCATTTCAACTGTAAAATGATGACACCTTGCCACCAGTCTAGTACTGCACTTAAATTCATAAAGTCTACCATAGACGAAAATTCATCAGAGCAATTACCATGAAAATATTTATAGTAAAGATACAGGGATGCTATATTATGGTGGTGGGGAAATGACTGAATCCGAGATGCCAGGTCAGGACCAATGACATTGCAAATGCTTCCTTAGATTTAAAAAAGACTATATAAACATTGTATGAATCTATTGTGCAACAACTCTTAAAATGCACTAGTAGTTTATCGTAACATATACCTGACCACAATTTTGGCCTAAAAAATGCCAGTCTGATTAAAAGAAAAAAGAATTTCCTATGAAGAAAACGCACTAATCTCCCAGTTCTCTATGGTCAACCTAAGACTGTGTTCTTTTATGATATCCTTATATCATCGTAAAAATATTAGTAAAAACTGACTGAGAGAGAGAGAGAGAGACACAAAGAGAGAGAGCTGCCCATGGTGTGATCATTTTCAAATCCGACAGACAGTTTCTGTATGAAAAACACCAACTCTCTTGTCGCAACGTTTGACAAAGATCATTATTACCTCCGCCCCATTATAACCCTGGGCATGGCAATAAACTGCACCCAGTAGCAAGGCCTCTGATTGAGAGATTAGATTTGAGGAGTGTGCACCCACATCTTAATTGCTATTATTCCCTGGTCCACCCTAACCTGGGGTGGCAGCACCTGTTAGGGTCCCAGCTACGGGTAAATAGTGAATCCCCGCCAAAGAGAAATCAAAACACTAGGAAAGTATAAAAAATACATTTTTATAGTAAAAATACCAGGAATACATTTTTATAAAAAAAATAATTCCAATAATACTTATAGTAAAATTATGAAATTACATCAAAATCCCTCAAGAAAATTAAATTTCAGAATTAAATGACCCATAAGGTGTTGATATGCCGCTAAACAAACAAATCAAGAACTATTGTTTCTCATTCTAACTCTAAGCTGAATCATTTTTTTTTTATTCAATATTATTTCTTCTTAGTATAAATGTTATTTTTAGTGGAGACACATAGCAATTGAAATACATATCCCCACTAAAAATAACGTCTATAATGTCAGATAAAATATATATCCCCGGTCTTCTGAACAGAAGTAGAGGTTTATCATGTGTTTCCTGATTGGGTTTCCTGATTGGGTTTCCAGTTCCTTCTAAAGTCATTTCCTCCTCTTTCCCTCCCAGTAGCTGCTTGCGTCTTAGCGGCATTATCGCCTTACTTGCAGTGGATTGATTAAATATATATATATTTCTAAAGAATTGATGATTTTTAATCTGACATTTTTTTTACTTCAAACATTATTATAATGGATACTCATATTTTAAATAAACTCCCCATTTATATTTTTACTCTATAGAGTGTGTAAAGCATACCAAATTAAAAAAAGGGGGTTTCTCCTACAAAGGGGGTTAAATGTTTCATTTCTGTCAAAGAGTCCTTTTAGTGTATTAACATTTCTTGGATATGCAAGCTGATAGAGGTTACACACGTTGTTTAAAGTTAATATAAAATGGGGCTAATATTTCAAACATGAGTATCCACTAATAATAATGTTTGAAGTAATAAAAATTGTGGGATTAAAAATAAATCCATTAATTGTTTAGGAATTGCTTTGTTTACATTTTGGATATGACACTGAGTAAATATGTACTTTTGAGAAACAGTATTTTGGTGAGGTATGTGTTCCTTAAAAAAGAGTCTTTCTAAACTGTAGTGCTCTTTGTAGCTGAGCAGTAAAGCACACCAGATCAAATTGATAGTTTCTCCTACAAAGGGCAATGCAGGTTCAATTCCTGCTGGAGAGCACATTTTCTTTAAGATTTATCCATGAATTTTTATATTTATTTTTTTTTTAATCATTTCACCCGAAGCAAGGCGTGAATGCCACTAGTACACAGGGAGTTACAGAGAGGGAAATTGAGAGTAAAGCCTGAGTATATATGATATATGTATCCACTATAATAACATTTGAAGTAATATATATGTATATTTATTTATATTTATAATATATATAATATATTTATAAGATATAATATATTTATAATATATTTAATATAATATATATATATATAATATATATATATGATATATGTATCCACTATAACATTTGAAGTAATATATATATATATATATATATATATATATATATATATATTATATATATTTATTCATATTTATAATATATAATATATTAATAATATATAATATATATATAATAAATATATGATATATATATCCACTATAATAACATTTGAAGTTAAATATATGTATGTATGTATATTTATTTATAATATATAATATATTTATAATATATAATATATTTATAATATATTTAATATAATATATATATAATATAATATATATATATATATATATATAATATATATATATATATATGATATATTTATAATATATTTATATATAATTTACAATATATATATATATATATATATATATATAATATATATATATATATATATATATATATATATATATTTATAATATAATGTAGATAATATGATATATTTAAAGGATCATTACAAATTGGAGTGAGGAGAAAAGAAACAGGCTTGCTGCCAGGGTGAAGTGTACTTGGAGGAAAGAAAAAACACTGTGACATCGACGGAGAAGATCTTTGCATACCTTGGTTGCAATCAAGGCTGTCACCGGCATGTGGGCCTGTACAGCCATTGAAGCATAACTTTATGTGTGCAGATCTGTGGTCTTCCATAGTATAGTGTTGATTCAGGGTATAAGGTAATAATTTGATATTGTTTTTACCTTACCTGTGTTACCATTGTTAAGAGTTCCTTTGATTGGTTTAGTAAATTCAGCTTACAGACACTTACCTGAAGGAAAAAGAAAAAAGATAAAAATTAATTAAAAAAACAAATAAAAAAAAGAGAAGAAAATTTTTTAAACTTGTTTGCTAAATCTTAAAATCAAGATGCCTCAAAAACATTCCATCATTAGTGAGTAGAACCTAAATTTTTGTCTATTGCAATGAACGAATGTTCTTTCGAGTAGGCTCTGTGTCTTGGATGCCTATTGGGACTTAAGTTCCACCCTGACCTCAAGCAAAACATATGTATATGTTCAATGGCTAAAGTACCTAACTCCTCCTGTTATCCTCTACCTTTACAAGAGACAGATCAAGTTGAAAATGGAGTACTGCTGCCATATATGGGCTGGAGCTATCAAGTCTTCATTGACTAAATAGAGTACTGCAGCCATATATGGAGCTACCAGCTCTTCAGTTTCTAGCTCTGATAGAATCCAGTTCAGAAGCGTCTCGGTGTACTAAAGTGTGATTAATTATTTTCTACTCTTCATCCCCTTTACCATAGACAAACTTTGTGATTTACCATAAAATTTATTCTTCTCCTACATGTCAACTAAACAAAAAACAAAAAATTATTCAAAGAATATCTTTGTTATATATATATATATATATATATATATATATATATGTATGTATATATGAATAAAAAAAAAAGAACAGTAAGATATATAAACCAGTGTTCTTATAGACATTTTTATTTTTACAAAAGAGTGCTCGATGTAAATTTACAGAGCATTAATATTATAAATTGATTTATTTCTCAAGTGAATTCGCTTGAGGATGAAATGGAACTAATGTCTTTAATTTAATTACAAAATTAAATTCGTAGCTTTTAGCTTCCATTTTTGAAACATGGTTAGAACTGTGTAGCGAAAAAAAAAACACATTTTAAATAAATCAATTTATAATATATATATATATATGTATAAACTTTTATATTTATGTTTACATATGCTTTATCTCTGATACTGAACACTTTATCCCATAAATATACCACACCTTAAAACTATATTTCTTCATATATATATATGAAACTTGTGTCAGTATATATATATACTCACACAAGTTTCATTAAAGACACCTGACAAGGTGCTGCAATTAAGCTTTTTATTCAATTTTTATTGGGGTTCGTATAAGTGTTTTTTTTTCTGGACATAAAGTCTGTTCTATATATCAAAGTGCTTTCGGCTATCCTATTAGCCATTATCAACAATGTTTTTTTCGTATTTTTTACAGAATATGTAGAAAAAATTATTCTTATTCTTATGGCTATTCTATTAGCCATTATGGCTAACAGAATAGCCGAAAATGCTCAGATAATTAGAACATATGTCCAAAAAAGAAAACACTTATATGAACATGAGAAAAATTGAATAAAAAGCTTACTCGCAGTACTTTGTCAGTTGTTTTCAATGAAACTTGTATAAAAAGAGGGATTGCTGCTCAAATATACAATTATATCACCTGATCCAGGTAAGTTGACCTCATTACCCAATCCAAGCCATAAGAGCAGATCACACAATCCAGGCCAGAAGACTTGATCACCCAATCCAGGTCATAAAAGCAGATCACCCAATCCATGTCAGATGACCTAATCACCCAATCCATGTCAGATGACCTAATCACCCAATCCAGGTCAGATGACCTAATCACCCAATCCGTGTCAGATGACCTAATCACCCAATCCGTGTCAGATGACCTAATCACCCAATCCAGGTCAGATGACCTAATCACCCAATCCATGTCAGATGACCTAATCACCCAATCCAGGTCATAAAAGCAGATCACCCAATCCATGTCAGATGACCTAATCACCCAATCCAGGTCATAAAAGCAGATCACCCAATCCATGTCAGATGACCTAATCACCCAATCCAGGTCAGATGACCTAATCAGCTAATCTAGGTCATACAATCAGATCACTCAATCTAGGCCAGACAACTGAATCTGGTAGTCATAAACAAGAATAGAAAATACTGCTCTAGTACCCCACAGACCATGCCAGGAAGCTGAGGACGTTGCTGGACATGAAAGTGACAGTCATATTAGTCTTTGGAAACACTCCAAAAGAGCTGAGGAAAAAGTCTGACGCAGCTGGAAATTGGATGAAGAGCTTAAACCATCAAGATGATAGTATAACTAAAAACAACTAAAATACTGAGGAGGGTGCTGGTGAATTGAAACGATTTACTGTCACTTAACCTCCAGTATAAGCTACACTGTAATAACAGTGTAAACAACTCAGTAGTGACAATTATCATAGTAATTACTAATCAAGAAGGAAATCATAAGCATTATCAGATATAGATAATTAGCATCTGATTAATAAACAAATCAGATGATTTAATTAATATTTTAATTGAGCTTGATTAATATATATATATATATATATATATATATATATATATATATATAATGAAAAATATCTCAGAGTTAACCTGTAGAAAAAGACAATATGTTATAAAGGTAAAAAAGTGTGGGGGGTGATGTTTATCATTGGAGAATTAGTTATTAAATATGTTCAATATGTTTCTGCCAGTATTAAATGCTATTTTATTTATGTTAGTTTTTTGTTTTTTGATGAGAATTGCTTCCAGAATTTGTAGTCGTTTTTTGCAGTTGTTTTTATAGAGGATTTTGGTGTTAAGATTTTTCTTATGTCAGATGATTTGAATGGGTATTGTTACAAGATGAATTTTTAGGGCACTAGTTTCATTGAGATGGTATGTGAGCCTATGTGAGAGAGTTGTGGTTGTGTGGTATATATAAATATAAATAGATAGAGTGATATATATAATTATTTATTTGAAAATTATAGCATAAACATGTTACAAAATCACTACAAAAATAGCCATTTTGTTTCAATACTTCTGGTGTCTTATCAAGTGATGGTGTTTATTCTACATTCAACATCATCACTTGATAAGACACCAAAAGTGTTGAAACAAAATGGCCATTTTTGTAGTGATTTTATAACATGTTTATGTTATAATTTTCAAATAAATAATTATATTTGCTCTACTCTGTATTGAGCACTCTTTTAAGAATAGCATTTGTCGGTTATTGGAATTTATTCCATATACACCAATCCTATACTTGTATATATATATATATATATATATATATATATATATATATATATATATATATATATGATTAAATATAATTCTAAGGTGTGTAATATTTATCAGATAAAAGTGCTCAATATCAGGAATAGAGTGTATGTAAGCAGAGCAGACAGAGATATCAACACTGAATGGTGACAATCTGTTTCATGCTTGACAGCACTCTTCAAGCCAGATAGAGAGATAGATACAGAAAGAGAAGAGGGTTCATATATATATATATATATATATATATATATATATATATATATTTCTGTTAGCTTATTAAACAGGAAACTTACATTTTAGTCTAGCAGTAATTATTACTCCTTTACCTCTGCTTGAGTACAGAATGATTAACAGCAAATGTTCACATGCCTAAGTGCACAGTCAAACAAACTGATACCAATAAGATTTTGATTTTGCAGCCCACACATTATTTTGGAACATATATAAAATAAATTGATGACAAGAAACAAAGAATCTGGTTTAGCGTTCCAAACTCATCAAAAAGGAGACTGAAATGAGAAATGGAAATAAAGGGAGACATAAAAAGGTGGAGATTAAATGGAAGCCCTGAGTTCTCAATGGGGTACCTGACATTTTGACAGGTGTAAGGACTTAGCAGGTAAATGATGCTCAGGTGTACAAGGAGAAACAAAAGACGAACAATGGGCATAAAATAACACAATGATCAAATGTAAAATAATGACAGGGATTAAGCTGTTTAACAAAAGTGCTGAGAATGAAGACGTTTAAGGAATCAATTGGCTTAACAAGATAGGAAGGATTATCTGGTCAACTAAAATTCACAAACAAAAGGTGACGATTTATAAAGATTAATAACAACAAAACGAAGGGATTCGCTCTGACTAACCTAAAAATATTTATCCAAATCATTAAAGAGAAAAAGAATGAAATTTGAAAAAGTATACTGCAATTGACCTATATATATATATATATATATATATGAATTGGGATTAAATATAAATCAAATGTAGATTTGAATACGACACAATGATAGGATAAAAATGAAACAGGAAATGTTTATTAATGTAACATGTTTCGCTTTTATTAAAACTTTTCTGATACTAGATATATAAACATTTCCTGTTCGTTCCTTATCCTATGGAAATGATACATAAATTTTTATACAGTGTAACCCGGATATAAGAGAAACCCGGATATAAGAGAGATTTTCTCTGGTCCCAAATTAGCGCCTGTGTTAATGTATATAAATTAGACCCAACCCGGATATAAGAGACCCGGATATAAGAGAAACACGGATATAAGAGAGATTTTCTCTGGTCCCAAATTAGAGCCTGTGTTAATGTATATAAAATAGACCAAACCCGGATATAAGAGACTTCTTCTCCGGTCCCGACAACTCTCTTATATCTGGGTTACACTGTATATAAGAACAATTTTAGGAAAACCTATGAAAACAAAAATTTTTTTTTTGTCTGATGTGTTTCATCCATTGTATTTATTAATTAAATATTAATCAACACACAGACTTTTTCACTATTTCACCTTTTTTAACAGAATTACTACTCTCCCAAACAAACGTACAGAACAGTATCAAGAAATCAAAAGAAAATGGTTGAATCCGTCAATACAGCAATAAAGACAATATCTCGTCACGTGACAGTAAATGACGTAATTTTCACTTAACAGTATGAAAATAGCGTTCTCTAAATTCTTCCAGTTGCTAAGGACATTTTGTTTTGTTATTATTAGTTACTTTGTTTAATAAATTCATTTTGTTTTTTGCCTTGAGAAAGTTCACATCAGACGAAACGCGTTGGCAACTATTACAGTTTTCCTATTGTCTTCTACATTTATATATATACATATATATATGGAATATATCAGGCACTGAATATACAATATTTATATATATATATATATATATATATATATATATATATATATATATATATATATAGAATATATTGGGCACTGAATATAGAACAAGTTAGAAAACTAGAGTTTGAAAAATGTTGAAAAGCAGAGGAAATAAAAAAATGATTGTTTTTTAGAAGGTAAAGCAAAAATTATGTTAGACATAAATTGAGAATTTTTTTTTATTTTTATTTTATTTTATTTCATTTTTTAGAAAATAAATAGGGCAGTAGTAACAAATGTTTGTGGTGAGTAGTCATTTCGCAACTGAAATCAACCTATGAAATGGCAAATTTTTAAAGACTTTTTGTAGCTGTGTATAATACACATTCCTGATTTTGCTTATTATTTTTAAAAAAAAAAATGCGTATTATACATGGGGAATTATGATAATGACAATAACTCAGAATTTCATATAATAAATAAGGCCAAATGTTAAAAGAAAGAAAAGATGAGAAGATTAGCCTAAACAACTTTTGAAACTGATAATAATCATTAATCTTAAAACTTCAGAAATTATTTTCTTAAATCTTTTTTTTTTTTTTTTCATAATGCATCATGCTTGTCAGCAATCAATGTTTGATTCTACATTTTGTTTCGTGGCAATTATTAGTTTTATAAAATAACCTACTTTTGGATACCATCATTTTTAGTCTTTTGTCAGAAGCTTCATTGCCTTTACGCATTTTTTTTTTCCTTTTGTTTTGAATCTACTTTGAAACCAAAACCTAAAAGAATCAGGAATTATCAAAAACCAAGAATGCTATAGACAGTTTACAACTTGCCAGAAATAAAAGAGAGGAAGCAATGACATCAATCCCAAGAGAATTTTTGAAATACAAAGAACGAAAGATAAAAAAAAACAACCTGCAATGCAGCAAGTAATCAATATTTGGATAAACAAACATGGACTGTGATTGAATTTGTTAATATTTTATTCTGATATTCATAATTAACCACTTATTATTTTATAGCCTATAATTTGAGTCACACTATCTCTGCAATGTTAGTAATTAATATTATTTAATACTTTTAATTTATTTAATATTATTAATTATTATTTAGTCTTATGGCCATAACACATTGAAACACCAGTTCTTGTACAATCACCAAAGTTAAGCTTAGGAATAGCACTTGCTGTAAGCTTGGATGTGTGGGTGGTGTAATGGATGAGGACTTGGAATTGTTAATCAGAGAGCTGAGTTCCAATTCCAGTTGGGTTCGTTATATTCACTTATGTGCAAATTCCTTTTGTAAAGGTATGAATCCACCTTTTCTCCTTCTCCCTAGCTATAGGTTACCATAATTCCCCATGTATAATACGCATTTTTTTATAAAAAACAATAAGCAAAATTAGGGGTGTTTATTATACACAGGTACAAAAAAAATCTTTAAAAAATTACCGTTTCATAGGTCAATTTCATTTGTGAAATGACTACTCACCACAAACCTACGACAATTTGACACTAACATTCGTCGATTGGGACCCCATAAGGATGTCAAATACAATCATATGTACCTAATAATACTTAGAAATGTAAAATAAAATAAGAATTATCATAAAACTAAATTAGAATAATATTATTCTATGTTTAAAACCATTTTTTAAACAAGAGTAGGAAACGCTGGCCGTAACGAAATTGGAGAGGTACAATTTATAGGGTTTGATTACCAAACAAGAGGTGCATATTATGCGTGAGTAGAAGCATTTTCCCACACTTTCAGCACAATTTTAGGGGTGCATATTATGGATGAAGGTGTATTATACATGGGGAATTATGGTAATTGTATCTCTAAACCATTATTATCTAAAAAAAAAAAAAAACGATAATTCTTACATTCTAAAAATATCCAACAATTATTGTAAGACATGTCTTAAAATAATTGTCGACTTTGTCCATTTCATAATGTCTGACGTCATTTTTTTACATTTGATACACCATGAGCAGATATGAATGTTCATGAGAGATTCATGGAAGATTGAACTCTAAATACAGTAAATTCGACCTTGCTAACCGAATGCTCCTCTGTGGCCAAATCGGTAAAGGCACATCAAGCTAAATGACAGTTCCGTATAGGATACATGTTTGAATCCTGTCAGAGGATGAATATTTTCTGTGAAAATTTCTTGGACATTCAGACCGGTAAATGTTGTTTAATACAGTTTATTATAAACAGAGCATTTACATAAATATTTGTATCTATAAAAAGAATGTATAAACATAAAAATGTCTTAAAATATATATATATATATATATATATATATATATAACATAGAATGTATATATGTAATTATAGACTGTAATATTGGAAAATGAAGATTTTACTGAAATATGTTGGAAAGATTTCAAGTTGTCTGAAATCAAGAAAATACAAACTTTAAGCAAAATAGCCACAATGAAAAAATAAAAAAGATGGCGTCAGTTTAAACAGATGCTAGAATAACACAAGTTAAAAAAAACTATTAATAATGAAATGAACGTGTCATTAAATATTTATTGATTGATTCATTTTCTATGACTTATAATGATCTAGGGATACAAGTCTTACTAATTAACCCATAACGGAGGGAGTATATGTGGATTCATACCTTTCCCAAGGGTATTTGCGCGTAAGTGAAAATAACAATTCCAAGGTGATTTGGAATGCAGCTCTCTGATTAAATATACAATGTAATGTCGTAAAAATAAATGCTTATTTCAGGAAAATTCTTTATCAAATATATTCTGCTTGTTCATTGAAAAACAAGTTTGAACAAAGTAACTATAAACAATTTTTTTTTCTATCCTCAGCCAGCCACAATGATGGAGAAAGCATTACCTCGAACCATCAAGAAAAGAATATTTAACTATTTTTTTTTTATCTCTGTGTCCTATTTTTAAATTTTATGAGTAATTTTTCCTTATCAAAATTTAAAGCATACCTCAGAGTTTTACTTATTGCACAAATGAGCCCTGAAGTAAAAAGAAAAAAAAAAAGGTTGATAATCACTGCTCTAGAACCACTGGGTGTTGCTGGAATCACAGCAGCACCACCTAGCATGGTGCGGCTGTGGCCTTAGTGGTGTTGCTGTGGCCCTAGTGGTGTGAGTTCTAGAAAAAGAAATAAAAAGATATCTTGAACCTGACAGAGTGATGAGAAAGTTGCAGAATATGAATGTGCTTCAGTTTTTTTTTCTTCAGAAGTCAACAGGGTTAATACATTAGAAAAGAAACTAACATCTGACATCTTCTTTCTCTCGATCTTTATTTTTATTAGGCTGTTTAATTTATCTCAGTGCTTTCATATCTATCTATGCATCCATCTATACCTCTTCATATCTATCTATCTATCTATCTATTTATACCTCTTCATATCTATTTATACCTCATATCTATCTACACCCCTTCATATCTATCTATCTATCTGTTTCCATCTATCTACACCTTTCATATCTATCTATCTATACTTTCTTCATATCTATCTATCTATACCTCTTCATATCTATCTATCTATCTACACCTCTTCACATCTATCTATCCATCTATACCTTTCTCTTCCATCTCACATCTATCTATCTATCTTCATATCTATCTATCTATCTACCTCTTCATATCTATCTATCTATACCTCATTCTATCTATCTATTCATATCTATCTACCCCTTCATATCTATCTATCTATCTATCTATCTATACCTCTTCATATCTATCTATCTATCCTCTTCTATCTATCTATCTATCCACACTTCATATCTATCTATCTATCTATATACCTCTTCATATCCATCTATCTATCTATCTATCTATCATCTATCTATCTATCTATCTATCTATCTCTTCACATCTATCTATCTATCTTCATATCTATCTATCCATCTATCTACACCTCTTCATATCTATCTATCTATCTATCTACACCTCTTCATATCTATCTATCTATCTATCTATCCTCTTCATATCTATCTATCTATCTATCACCCTCTTCATCATTCATCTATCTATCTACACCCTTCATATCCTATCTTTCATATCTATCTATCTATCTATCTATCTATCTATACCTATCTATCTATCTACACCTCTTCATCTATCTATCTATCTATCCCTTCATATCCATCTATCTATACCTCTTCATATCTATCTATCTATCCATACCTCTTCTATCCATCCATATCTATCTATCTATCTATCTATCTCTTCATCTATCTATCTATCTACACCTCTTCATCTATCTATCTATATCTATCTATCTACCTCTTCATATCTATCTATCTACATCTCTTCCATCTATCTATCTATCTATCTACACCTCTTCCATCCATCTATCTATCTATACCTCTTCACATCTCCATCTATCTATCCACACCTCTTCATATCCATATCTATCATATCTCATACCTCTTCACATCTATCATCTATCTATCTATCTATCTATCTACACCTCTTCATATCTATCTATCTATTCACCTATCTATCTATCTACACCTCTTGTATCTATCTATCTATCCATCTACACCTCTTCATATCTATCTATCTATCTACCCCTTCATATCTATCTATCTCTTCATATCTATCTATCTACCCCCTTCATATCTATCTATCTATACCTCTTCATATCTATCTATCTATCTATCTACACCTATCTATCTATCTATCTATCCTCTTCATATCTATCTATCTATCTACCTCTTCATATCTATCTATCTATCTATCACCTCTTCTTCTTCTATCTATCTATACTTCATATCTCTTCTATCTATCTCTTCATATCTCTATCTATCTATCACCCCCTTCATATCTATCTATCTATACCTCTTCATATCTATCTATCTATACCTCTTCATATCTATCTATACCTCTTCATATCTATCTATCTATACCTCTTCATATCTATCTATCTATCTACACCTCTTCATATCTATCTATCTATACCTCATATCTATCTACACCTCTTCATATCTATCTACACCTCTTCATATCTATCTACACCTCTTCATATCTATCTACACCTCTTCATATCTATCTATCTATATATCTATCTATCTATCAGTTATTATCAAAGCACTGAGAACAATCCTGGAGGGTGTGGGGGAAGAATGGAGGTAATGGAAACCAAAAGAAGAGTGTCAACCCTCCAGAGGACAGCATTGCTGAGATCGGCAAGAAAGCTAAGAATGCCAAAGTAACAAGCAGACTTGTTGCCTCTTTATTACGAATATAATCAACCTGTTATCATGTGCTTGAACACACAATGAATGAATAAAAACTCCTATCCTATTTTTGGCTTTAAGTTCCCTGAATAAAAAAAAGTGCAATACTCCTGATGTCAGCAGTTTTTAGTGGGTCACTACATTTGACCCTAACTTCCCAAATGTTGGTATTTCTGATCTTTGATAATCTCATTTGGTCAATGAGGAGGGTCAGTGATTATTGACGTACATTCTGAGCATATGGCTTCAGTTTTTTTTTTCTTTACATCAACAGGGTTAATACATTAGAAAAGAAACTAACATTTGACAGATGGTAAAAAAAGATATACACCAACAAGACTTCTTTCTCTCGGTGATCTTTATTTTATTAGGCTGTTTATATTTATCTCAGCGCTTTCATATCTATCTATCTATCTATACCTCTTCATATCTATCTATCTATACCTCTTCATATATATCTATCTATCTATCAATCTATCTATACCTCTTCATATCTATCTATCTATCAATCTATCTATCTATACCTCTTCATATCTATTTATCTATCTATCTATACCTCTTCATATCTATCTATCTTTATACCTATCTATCTATCTATCTATCTATACCTCTTCATATCTATCTATCTATACCTCTTCATATCTATCTATGTATACCTCTTCCTATCTATCTATCTATCTATACCTCTTCATATCTATCTATCTATTTATCTATCTACCTACGTATGCATCTATCTAAGACTGTTTATATCTATCTCAATGTTTCTATATCTGAGTTTCTATCTATTCATCTATTCACAATGTTTCCATATCTATGTATCTATCTATCTATCTCAGCCTGTTTATATGTATCTCAGTGTTTTCATCTCTATCTATCAGTATTTCTATCTATGCATCTATCTATATATCTATCTGTCATAGTGTTTCCATATCTATCTGTCATAGTCTTTCCATATCTATCTATCTATCAGTGTTTCCATATCTATCTATCACAGTGTTTCCATATCTATCTATTTATCTATCTATCTATCACAGTGTTTCCATATCTATCTATCTATCTATCTATCTATCACAGTGTTTCCATATCTATCTATCTATCTATCTATCTATCACAGTGTTTCCATATCTATCTATCTATCTATCTATCTATCACAGTGTTTTCAAATCTATCTATCTACTATGGTGTTTCCATATCTATCTATTTATCTATCTATATATCTCAGCCTGTTTATATCTATCTCACTGTTTTCATATCTATCTATCAGTGTTTCTATATATATCTGTGTTTCTATCTATCCATCTATCACTGTGATTTCATATCTATCTATCTATCTATCTATCTATCTATTACATCTTAAATCATAATTACCATCTGCCATGCACCAATGTACTAAGGTTTTTATATGCCAACACTTAGGCACCCACCTCTCAAAAGTAGGCTACTGTGGCATAGAAATATTTAGCTTTTCTAAGGTGAAATGGCTGGCAAAACAAACTGACTGGGGAGAGGGGAGGGGTAGGCTAAAAGTTCAACACTTCCCAGTGTTCCTTGGTTTTTGTAGCACAGTTTAATGTCAGAAAGTTTCTCAGATTAACACACACCCACCAAAACAATGGTCAAAGGTGAATAGAAAAAGAAAAGACAGATGACAGATAAGTTCAGACCCAGCCAAAGGTGTGTAAAGTTGACTAATTCTCCATCTTGATCTGGAGAGGTTGGAAAGCTGGGGGTGGACAGGAGCAAAGGCCAAATTACAGTGTCAGCCAGTTATGTGCCATACGTGATACACTGATACACGCTTAGGCAATCATGTATCTTTCTATACATGACTGACTAAGCAGATCCCCCTTCCCCCAGTAGGTTGCCATTTCTTTCTGCAGTAGACCAGTTGCCATTCAAGGCTATAGAACCTGATCTGTCTTGCTATTTAGCCATAGCTGGGGGCAGAAGAAGAGGATTCATACCGTTCCCAAGTGTATTAGCACGTAAGTGAATATAATGGATTTGACTGAAATTTGAACTCAGCTCTCTGATTCTTCAATCTGAGCCACTGTTAAAAACTAAATGCAAAGGCAATAGAAACAGAAGAAAAACTGTTTGTTTTAGTGTCAACTGTTGATGGTAATGATGGTAATAGAAACATTCTGCATTCATTGACTGAGCAGCCAGTGCTATTTGAATTGCACTTTTCTTCCCGCTTTGGCCATTCAGCTGGGATCAAAGTGTAGTATCAGTTCTCCTCACTGATAATGAAAATATTAGCCATTTTTTTATAAGGAAACATTTCACATTACATGACCAAGCAGCTAGTGTTACTCAAGTTACACATTTCTTCATTCCTTGGCCATCGAGCTAAGATCATAGTGTAGTATCTGTTCTCATCATCTCATAATGGTAATGGTAATATTAGCCATTTCCTTATAAGGAAACATTCCACATTCATTGACCAAGCAGCCAAAGATACCTGTGTTGTACTTTTCTTCACTTTTTGGCCATTGGGCTGGGGATCAGAATGTAGTATCTGTTCTCGTCATCTCTAATGATAATGGTAATATTAACCATCACCTTATGAGGAAACATTCTGCACTCATTGACCTAGCAGCCTTGCTGTTCAAGTTATACTTTATTCACTTTTTGGCCATCAGGCTGGGACCAAAGTGTAGTATCTCTTCTTCTCATCGCTAATGATAATGGTAATATAAGCCATTTCCTTATAAGGAAACATTCTACATTCATTGACTGAGCAGCTAGTTCTACTCGGGTTATGCTTTTCTTCGCTCTTTGGCCATTGAGCTGAGTTCAAAGTGTAGTATCTGTTCTCATGTCTATAATAATAATAATGGTAATATTAGCTGTTGTCTTAAAAGGAAAAATTCCCCATTAATTGTCTGAGCAGTTAGTGTTACTTGAGTTATGCTTCTTTTCACTCTTTGGCCATAGTGCTGGGATCAAAGTGTAGTATCTGCCTTCAGGTAGATAAACTACATTTTATCTCCCAATGTGTTTTTGTATTTGAACAGAACAAAAATCAATGTACCAAAGAGAAAGGTTTGGTGGAATATTGATACCAGTGCGACATTCATTGCAGGGACTGGGCAATTTCTGGCCATGCACACTCGATTGGGCTCCTCACTTTAAATCGAGCTTGTGTCACTGCTCTTTCCAGGATTAATGGGGTCTTTCTCCCTAATCTTTGGGTTGAGGTAATGTGGAACGTCAACATCTTGATAATGTTATTATTTTCTCTTCCAGTTAAATATGCTATCCATTTTACTTGTTGCAGCTGTTGAAAGTCCTCAAGTGATGTGGTTATTGTCAATTTACCATAGACTTTTAGAACTAACAGCAATCCTTCCAATTTGGGATTGGAATTATTTATTACTGCCTCTGTCCCATAATAGTTGGTACATTAGCATACACATTTCATATACTAAATGTACCAACCATTATAGGACAGAGGTAGTAGTCTAATATATTGCAATCAATTTCTATGGGAACACTGTAGCATATCAGGAGTAAAGAGAACCAGCTTAGAACTAGCAGCAATCATTCCAATTTGGGATTGGAATTATTTATTACTACATCTGTCCCATAATAGTTGGTACATTTGCATACACATTTCATACACTAAATGTACCAACCATTATGGGACAGAGGTAGTCTAATATATTGCAATCAATTTCTATGGGAGCACTGTAGCATATCAGGATTAAAGAGAATCAGCTTAGAACTAGCAGCAATCCTTCCAATTTGGGAATGGAATTATTTATTACTACTTCTGTCCCATAATAATTGGTACATTTGCATACACATTTCATATACTAAATGTACCAATCATTATTGGACAGTAGTATTTATTATGGACAAAAATGCTATATATCTTCTTATCTATCATTTCACTTTGAGATTTATCTTAGCCTACAACAACAAAAAAAAAAAAAAAAAGAAACTACAAAAGTGTTCCACTTTTTTGCTTATTCTGTCAACCCCTGATCTATATTAATAAACAAGCTGCGGGTCTTATTTCACACATGTTAAAAATATGCACATCTGGAGGTGATAAAGAAACGTAAAAATGAAGTTAAAGAAAGGAAATCGAAACAACAGATGTTACCATGAGAGAAAGAAGCCAAGCTGTCTTTGACAAAAACACATTTTAAAAAAAATGAAATAAATAAAATTACAAGAAGGAAGGAGATGGTAAAAAAAAAAAAAACGAAACAGATTGGTTGAATCTTAAAATTGCATGCACAATCATTAAAAGCAACCAACAGTTTTTGTCAACAACTATGAAGGTCTTGGATCTTGCTAAAACACATAGCCATAAGTACCGATTAAAATCTTTTGGACAATTTTTACATGGAGGACCACTTGTAAGGAAACAAGAAAGATTAAACAAAATGACTGCACATGTTCCATAATAGCTGATCCATTTAGTGTATGAAATGTGTATGCAAATGTACCAATTATTGTGGGACAGAGGTAGTAATAAATAATTCCAATCCCAAATTGGAAGGATTGCTGCTAGTTCTAAGCTGGTTCTCTTTAATCCTGATATGCTACAGTGTTCCCATAGAAATTGATTGCAATAGACTACTACCTCCGTCCCATAATGGTTGGTACATTTAGTGTATGAAATGTGTATGCAAATGTACCAACTATCGTGGGACGAATGTAGTAATAAATAATTCTAATCTGATAAAGTGCTTTATAGAAGGCAAAATGCATTGTAAAAACCAATTAAGTTGACTCTGCTGATTTATCGCAATGAGAGTCTACCAGATGGAAGATGGCTCAGGCATGCCAGTGATAATGAAATTTACTGTTGAAATGGCCACCATGGTCACCTGACTTGATACCTTGTCATTTTTTTCTAAGTGAAAGGACAGGTTTATATCTCCCTCGTCTTACAAGCAGAGAAACACTTAGACGCTGGAGAATGTTACGCAAGACATGCTTCATCATGTTTGGCAGGCACTAGACTACCGACTTGACGTGTGTTGTTCCATAGGTAGTCCACATATATTCTTATTGTTATTTCTTCTACTGTATATTTACTATTTCCTTTAAAAAAAATTCATCTCATCTTCTTTTTTAAAGTCATTTTTTTTTGTAGTTATTTTGTATTTTTTAGAATTTTTAATTTGTCTTTTACATTCTGTAAAAGATTATATTTCAATTTTAGTTATAAAGTAGTTTTATTTTTGTTACCATTATTATCTCATCTCTTTAAAATTTCTCTCTGTTAAATTTTAATCCCCACCTTTAGGCCTTTCTTTTTCTTCTTTCTTCTGTTACACCCTCTCTCTAGAGTTTTCATACATTTCCCTCTCACACTTGTTTCCCACTCCCGCACATGCACATACACTCTCACTAAAATTTTATTTTTTATACCCGGAGTTATATTTTCCAATTTCTTTTTGAATTTGTAGGTCTGATGAATTGGATCGGGATTACAATTCCAATGTAATAAATTATAACCATGGAATATTAGTCTTTGAGCCTTTTATATATATATATATATATATATATATATATATATATATATATATCCAACTATAATTGGATTTTCAGCATACATGCTGACTCAATATACACATAATGTTTGAAATGAGTTGACAGATTCTGTGTCATAAAGCAATGGACAGTGACTTTTATATACAATAGGACATAATTATTCATGGCAAACGGGTTTCAAGATCTCTTTTTGAGTGAAATCTTTGGCCAATAGTAAAATATGTACACCAGGCAGGACTGTAGAGTCAGTTGTGGAATCAAATGTGAAGTCGGAAGCAATTAAAGGGTCACTGAAGTTGGAGTCAGTAAAACTATACCAACTCTGACTCTTTTTTTATATATATATATATATATATATATATATATATATATATATATATATATATATATATATATATATATATATATATATATATTTAAATTTGTGTATTTTGGCAGCAAATTCTCTTTTTAGACATGTCTGATTGAATAAATTGCAGACATTATGTCTGCTAATTTTTAATATAATCCGTTCATACTCACGAATAACCTTTTGTGTATTGATGTTAAAGGATGAGAGAAATGTGCTATAGCTGTTTATATTTCTTTTATTTTCATTTCCCCAGGTACTTTCGATCTTCTTCCAAGATCATCTTCAGGGGTGCAAATGGTAAAATAATATATTTTATTCATTAGTATAAGTATTTATACAAAGATGTGTGTTGTTATCCATTACCGTAATTTTTTCATTATGCCTTTAAATGCAAAACGGCTGTCAATGTACTGAGCATTAGCCGTTTTGCATTTAAAGGCATAATGAAAAAATTACGTTAAAAAAATTTAAAGGCATAATGAAAAAAT